TGGAGTGTGTGTGTGTGTGTGTGTGTGTGTGTGTGTGTGTGTGTGTGTGTGTGTGCGCGTGCGCGCGCGTGTGTGTGTGTGTGTGATTGATTGGAGTGAATTACAGGCTGCTGTGCAGCTAATCCATCAATAGCTAGCTTAGTTGCTACGTCCACAATGTTGGAATATTTGACTGGAGTTCTAAAGAAGTAGGCTTTAATGCCAGTGAAGGAATTAATGTGCTAACAAATAAATGAGACAGCACGCAGACAATGAGCAAAAGTTTATTCTTCTCTGTCCTTTTATAAGCTTCCAGGGGAAGGTGTGGCCTAGATGAAAGTTGTGACTTCCAGGCATCAGATCATTTGTAAACATGTGTTGAGGTGGCAGAAGCTCCTGAAGAAGAGGTAGTCCCCCTGTTCCGAGTTCTTGAGCAAAAATATTCTTTAGGTCTCCATTGCAGAAGGGCTTCTACTTCCTATTGGCCCATCACACCCCAGTAACAGGGATTTCCTGTGATCTGAAGCACACTTGGCACAAAGCAGTGTATGTAATAGATCTGCATATGAACCTTCCAAGCTCCTGTCTGCTAAGGTGCAAGTGGCTTTCATCAGACACCTGGTGCTGCTGCTCTCTGTGATTAAAGACACTGAGTGGTTGAATCCTTTTCTGAGTCACAATTCATTTGTGGAACTGCGGAACCGTCTCCATTTATTTCCATTATCCCAGTTGGCTAACTTTGGTCCCAGTTTATACAATGAATTGACCTGTGCTTCAAATGTGTGTACTTGTTGCCTTCCTTGATACTAAGCCATCTTCTCTTTCAGAGCCCATCTTCTTCATCTTCTGCAGGCACTATTAAGGAATAAAAATTGTCAAAAAAAATGTTGAATGGTGGCTCACAGGAGCTGTATGCTGTTTAATCCAATGCCACACTTGTGCTAAATCTGAGCCAGCAGGACAGGGCATTTCTCCAGCATTAATTCAGAAAAATGAATTTTTCTTTTATTGGAAAAGAGAGGCTTTGACTGCTTCTTCTAAGTTCTCATGGAGAAACACATAACCAGTGTGCTTGAGCCTCTGCCTCAAGAGGGGCTCCAGATTGCAGGGCTGGAAACAAGGTCCATATTTTTGATGGAGATGACTCCGTAGCACCTCTCTTGCCTCTGATAGCCACTTCCAGTTCTACCAAACCTTTTCTCAGTATTCAATCAACTCTGCCTGTTTGTGGAACAGGAATGTTTCTTCCTCCCTCACAACGTGGAATGTCAACAGTAGGAATCTCTTTGCATAAGTCTTGTTCCCAGGGTGGCACAATGCTTCTCAATGCTTATTTCAACAACCTAAGCGATCTCCATAACACAGTTTTGGATTTGTCTTGAAAAGGTCTTTGAAGGGCTTAGTCCCAGCTGTAAGGCAACATTTTCTCGTAAGGGGCTGCTCTGCTGCTGGGGCGTGGACTCTCCCAGACTGATGCTTTTCTCTTTGTCAGACACCTGCTGGCGTTCAGGTCCACACTATGCAGGGATGCTTCCTCCCTCATGGCTAAATAGAACCTGGCATCTGTATTTCAAGTTGTTCTACATTTTCCCCACATCATCCACTGAGAGTCTACTGGGTGCAAGCTCCCACTATGCACCGTAAAGTGCACAGGGACTCAACGCCCTGGCTTGTCTTCCTCTTCCTGGTTTATCCATCCCCGGCAAGGGCCCTGCAGCCTTCAAAGAGGTACCCAGGCGTCTGTTTGAGCACTGTGCTGGGCACAGGGAACCTGGCAAGGAGCAGCCGCTGCTTGTGGACACTGGGCGACCACAAGGGACACTCAGCAGCCAGGGCACACGTGTTGGCCTCATCCAGTGAACCTGGAGTCAGGCAGAATGGTCCTGGCCAGGGAAGTCAGTGATAGGGAGAATCAGACTGCTTGTGAGTCTGCTGCCAAGCCTAACAGCCTAGCATCCTCAGGAAGGAACTAGGG